CAACTCTTCCTTGATAAATTTAAATTAATGTGCGCATCAATATGGTAAAGTCCCCGGACTGCACGTCCGTCCGAAGACGTCTCAACTCTTAAAGGTTGCACTACACCAAAACACCGGCCAGTAGGGGTGCTCTGCCCAATTCAAGGAGAATTCTTCGCCAAACCGAGGCGCTGAAAAAGTACCCCTAGAGTTTATTTGAAAAAGAGGAGATTGTGTGGCCCAAGAAATTGTGTGATTGTAGAAGAATGGCCCAGAATGAACTCTCCACGTTCAAGGGCTCCCATTCCAGGACCAAGCACAGCAAAATGCTACTGACAAATTGTTCCAAGAGACTGAAAATCGTGAGGGATGTCATTTGAAAAATGGCCGCTGATGACAAACTTGGGAGCTTTTATTTTGGGGGGGGTTGAGTTTGTTTTTGGTGGATAATTAGAAATTAGATTTGTTAAGTAACCTACTTAAAATTGAAAATCAGTAGAAAGCTACACTCTGCTCTTTTTGTTTTTTGTTGTTTTTTTCCAAGTTGCCGCAGGGGGAGGGTTAAGAGGCCCGAAGGACTTTGGTTGCCTGCACCGGGGCTGCAAACGTGGTCGATTTTACCTTGTCTTCGAATGGGCTTTTTTTAGTTCAGTGCACGCATAGAAAGCAGTAAAAAATCAGAGCGAAATAGCGCCGCCTGTTGACTCTCGGAGGAGGTTTGTCTCCGGTTTTGTCACCGGAAATTCAAGATCATGGCCAATAGATCACTTTTCGTTTCAATTTTATGGGTTTTACCCACGATTTGTTTTTATTTGCCTTATCCCAAAGCTATATCCAAAATAATCAAACTGTTCGCCCAGCTCTCATTGTTTTTCCAAATAGGCCCGCAATTTTTGGCTTTTTATGAAAGAAATAACCCGAACTGGAAACTACCAGTCCAAATTTCGGGATTTATAAAAATGTTTCTGTGATCCCTCCTGATTATGGCATGTTTTATTGTAAAAATCCCGTGGGATCACAAAATGTCAATGAGTTTGCAAACAGAAATACAATCATTTCGCGGAATGCAACCTTAATGGTATGGTGTATACCATTTTTTCCAGGGGTTTGGAGTGAATCGGGAACACCAACAGTTCTGATAAATAGGACTAAAATGTTCAGCTGTGTGGTGGATCTGATACATGGTTTAGTTATTCCGATACTTTGCCCTGTTAAGCAAGCCTCTTTACTTGAAAAGTGAGCACTGTTGGTGTCATTTTTATAACATATTTTTAATATGTTGACTTGAGTTGTCGCATTTTTGGTTGTGTCAAATGTTGATGTGGATATATAGCGAAAACTGTCCCTCTCTCTAACCCAATCACCAACACCCCCACTGTCCCTAACCCTAACCACAAACGTATATATCACTAAACCTAACAACAGCCCCAATCCTAACCCTTACCCAATCACTAACCGTACCCCTAACCCTATCTGTAACCCTAACAATATCCCGAACCCCAATCCCATTTTCCTAACCCTAGCCCTTACCCTAACCACAAACCTATATATCACTAAACTTAACCCTAACCACACCCCTGATCCTAACCCACACCCTACCCCTAACCCTAACCACAAACCTATATATCACTAAATCTAACCCTAACCACGACCCACTCCTAACCCTAAACCCTACCCTACACCTAACCCTAGCCCTAATCACAAACCTATATATCACTAAACGTAACCCTAACCACGACCCAATCCTAACCTTCACCCTACCCCTACCCCTAGCCCTATCTGTAACCCTAACCCTATTCCTAACCCCAACCCTATTATCCTAACACTAGCCATATCCTTAACCACAAACCTATATATCGCTAAACTTAACCCTAACCAGAACCCCCATCCTAACCCTTATCCTACCCCTATCCCTCACCCTAACCCTAACCACAAACCTATATATCACTAAGCCTAACCCTAACCACAACCCCAATTCTAACCCTTACCCTATCCCTAACCCTAACCTTAACCCTAACCCTAACCACAAACCTATATATCACTAAGCCTAACCCTAACCACAACCCCAATTCTAACCATTACCCTATCCCTAACCCTAACCTTAACCGTAGCCCTAACCACAAACCTATATATCACTTACCCTAACCACAACCCCAATCCTAATCATCATCTTACCCCTACCCCTAACCCTATCTGTAACCCTAACCCTATTCCTACCCCCAACCCTATTATCCTAACCCTAGCCCTAACCCTAACCACAAATCTATATATAGCTAAACCTAACCCTAACCACAACCCCCACCCTAACCCTTATCCTACCCCTACCCCTATCCCTAACCCTAACCACAAACCTATATATCACTAAACCTAACCCTAACCACAATCCCAATCCTAACCCTTATCCTACCGCTAATCCTGACTGTAACACTACCCTAGCCCCAACCACAAACCTATATATCACTAACCCTAACCACAACCCCAATCCTAACGGGTCCGCCCGGGGGACCGCTATGGAAGTTGGCTTTGTCCGGGCGACGCGCGGCTGCGCCGGTTTTCCGAGGGTGACCGTTCACCGCGCCGCACTGACCGTCCCGCCGATCGGGAGCCGGGCCCGCCCGGGGGCCGCTCCGGAGCTTTGGGCCTCGGTCGTGTCGGAAATGCACGGCTTGATATGGACGACGGGTGGCTGCCCCGCTTGCTGGCGGCTATNTCCGGGGCAAAGCCCTCTCAGAGTCCTGGGGTGGGCCGGCGAGCCGACAGACGGCAGGCCCGAGGCGTCCGGCCCGCTCGGCCGCAGGCAACCCTGAACATCCGCCGGGATCGCCGGGGCAATCGTGTCGGAAATGCACGGCTTTAGGGGGGCCGCGTGCGATTTTCCGCGGACGGGAATTCACCGCGACGCACCGCGGGTCCCGCGGGCCAACGGGCCCACCGCCCGGCCGGCCGGTGTCTCCTTCGCCTCACCGTCGGGGGGATTTCTCAGGCCGGGCCGGGGCCGCCGGGTCCGGCGGCGTGCCGCACGCCGGCGGCGGCGGGCTGGGGACCCGCCAGGGCAAATTTGGGCCCTGCTGACGGAGACACCCTCCCCCTATAAATACGCAAACCAGGGATTGGGGGGTTAAGGTCCAAAACGCTCTCATCGAAATACGCACGTTTCGGGCCCAACAGACCCCGACGAGAGACGCTCTCGAGAGCCGGGGTGCCTCGCCGACGCGTTTGCGGGTGGGGACGAGTCGGTTTTTACGCCCGAGTCGGGTCAAAACCGGAGATCCGACCTTTTGCGGACCACCAAGTCCGAGGAAGAAATCTTCAGCGGGCGCGCGCAACGCCGCCCGTCCGGCACCCACGGCGGGGCCGGCGCCGCCCGCTGCGAGACTCCGGCCTCAGGCCGGAAGCCCCGGTCCCTCCCCGCCCCGCGGCAGGTGGGGCCACTCCCCCCAGAGCCCTCCTGCGGCGTACACCGCCAACCTGGGATTTCAAGTCAGGTCGGGGGCGGCCCTCTCGGCCCGGCAGCCCGTCCCGGCGCTCGCCAGTGGGGCCGAGTCGGTTTTTGCGCCCGAGTCGGGTCGAAACCGGAGATCCGACCTTTCGCGGACCACCAAGTCCGAGGAAGATATCTTCAGCGAGCGCCCGCGCAAGGCCGCCCGTCCGGCTCCAGCGGCGGGACCGGTCCCTCTCCGCCCCGCGGCCCGTCGCACCAGGGCATTGGGACCGACTTGGCAACTCGCCACCCCGGCGCTGCTCCCCCCAGAGCCCTCCTGCGGCGTGCACCGCCAACCCATGATTTCAAGTCAGTTCTTGGCGGCCCTCTCGGCCTGGCAACCCGGCAGCTCATCCCAGCGCTCGCTGGTGGGGCCGAGTCGGTTTTTGCACCCGAGTCGGGGCGAGACCGGAGATGCCACCTTTGGTCGAACACCAAGTCCGGCGAAAAAATCTTCAGCGGGCGCCCCCGCAACGCTGCCCGTCCGGGCACCCGCGGCGGGACCGGTCCCTGCCCGCCAAGCGGCCCGTCGCACCGGGGCATTTGGACCGACTTGGCAACTCGCCACCCCGGCGCCGCTCCGCCAGAGCCCTCCTACGGGGTACACCGCCGACCCGGGATTTCAAGTCCGTTCTTGGCGGCAGGCCCCCTCGGCCTCGCAACCCGGCAGCCGTTTTCATGCACAGCATCTAGGGAAATACGGAATGGTCATTACTTGCATTTGATATTTTCTTGGTTTGAGAAATGGCAGGTAAATTTTGGTGGTGTTCTATTTGAGTTCGAAAAGAGACATTTTCTTGACCAAGTGACTTGGGTGACTTTTTTCCCTTGTCCCTTTTTGTAACTCGAATGCTGATATAAAATTTAAGGCCAGTGAGGCTCTAGATATAAATGACAACATACAGTTTCGGTCTTGCCAAAATGAAATGTAACGTGGATTACGTGGAGATAAAAACAAAACTGAATGGAGTGCGCCGTGATACAGAGG